TTCAGAGCAATTTCCAGGGCTAAAGACCAAAGGGACAGGGGCACTGACCCGCCACTACCCCCTTCCCCCTGCTTGGTGTAGTCACTCCTTTCTGAAATGATACGTACTACTAAATTGTGCCTTAAACTGCCACCATTGGAGGACAATCAATAGTTTCTATGTTGCACTGAAATGCTTCTGTGACATCAACAACATGCACTTCTCACCGGACGGATGTTCTCCCGGCATCTGCCCATGCTTTCAGTCCCAAGAATGGGACCGGGCCCGCCTGTTCCAGGATTCTGCTCGCGCACCAACCAAGCACCTGCCCCCACGGGGTCCCTGCAGCAGGATACGGCTGCAACAGTCCCTTCTGCCCCAGGGACTGGGCACACAGGCCCACCCCTTCCGCGAATGGAGGCTGCTTCTTGCCACCAAGGCTAATAGCCACTAATAGCCTTCCCCGCGGGGTCTGTCCAAGCCCCTTTCAGAGCCATCCAGATGTGTGGCCATCACGGCTTCCTTTGGCAATGAGTTCCATAGTTTAACCATGTGTTTTCCGGAGAAGTGCTTCTGTTGATCTAGGACTAAACGTCTTCCAAGTCACCTATTCCAAGGCAAGCAAACTTCGGTACACCTCCATCTATCTACCCCTCACTTATTTTCCAAGCTGAGCAACCCCAGCTATTACTGCCTTCCCTTCAAGGCGGCTTCCTCCAGCTCCTTGATCATTTTAGTTCTCCTTTTCTGCACTTTTCCCAGCCCTGCAATGTCCCTTAAGCCCAGTGACCAGAACTGTGCTCAGTATTCTAAGTGTGGTCACACCACACATTTGTACAGGGGGAGTACGATCTTGGCAGTTTCCTTCCCAGCTCCTTTCCAAATTATGGCTAACATGGAATTTGCCCTTTCTCAGCAGCCACATACTCAGTCAACATTTTCATTGAGCTTTCCACTGCAACCCTGTGATTATTTCTAGCTCAGACCCGATCTGCTTATATTCAAAGTTGGCATTTTTTAAATGTGCATCACTTTATATTTGCTCACATTGAACTCTATTTGCCAGTTTGAAGAGATCTTCCCAGAGACTTTTGGGACACCCGTGTTTGTTTTAACCCTCCTGTATAGTTGTTGGTGTTGTTGTTGCCTCCTTCACTGCTCACTCCTAATTCCCGATCATTTATGAATACTCAAGTTCCTGTGAGATGTCACCATTCATGCTGGGAGGAGTTACTATCCCCACTCGGCTTTCTGTTCTCCAATCAGATACTGACGTCCCTTCTTACGCCATTGACAGTTCAGGGGTCTTTGACGAGAGACGGATAAATACTACCAGAACAACCCTGTCAATGGGTTTATTGACACTGTAGGAGAACTCTGAAAGGTTAGCGAGACAGGACGTACCTTTACAGACTCCTTGAATTCCCCAGGTCCTCATTGTCTGCACACCCAAATCATACCAATTATATTCCACCTTCATTGGCTACCAGGCCCAATGTCAAGTGTAGGTTTCCACATGGAAAGCCCTGGACAGGTTGGGCCCAGGACACCCGAAGGACTGCCCTCTTCGATCAGATACACCTACCTGATCGTTAAGATCTGGTTCAGAGGCCCTTCTCAGGGTGCCATCTCTGAAGGAGGTGAAGGGGATGGAGAATAAAAGAAGGATCTTATTTCTGGAATTGGCTTCCCAGAGAAGTTTGCCTGGTGCCCTCATTGCAATCATTTAGGCACCAGGTGGAAGTAGTTTTATCCTCCAGGCACCAAACTGGAAAAATAAATTCAAGTTGCGACAACCCAGATTCAGGCTGGACATCAGGAAAAGTTTCCTTGTTGTCAGAGCAATACGATAGTAGAACCAGCTGCCTGGAGAGGTGGTGAGCTCTCCCACACCAGAGACATTCAGGAAGAAACTGGGCAGCCCTTTGAGGGGGATGGTATGGCTTGGTGTCCTGGAACAGCAGGGGGTTGGACCCAATGGCCTGCATGGCCCTTTCCAACTCTGCTCTTCTATGATTCTGTGATTCAGTTTTGCTCCATGGCCAGCTACTTAAGCACCTTCCTTCTAGGTCCCCTACCATGATGAGTTGTGTTGGAACAATCACAGTAAGCAAAAACCACAGAACAAACACTTGTTCCTTCTCGGGGTTCTTGAGGACCAAACTTACCACACTGAAATATGACGGCTTACTTTGGACAAGGCGACAGACGGACAATGACACAAACTACCGTGGCTTGCTGTGTCAACCCAGCTGTGGAGAAGGTGGATGAATGAGGGGGAAGTAGCCACTTCTTCCAGAACAAAGCATCTATGCTGCACTCTGCCCGCCCCCGCAAACTTTCCCCAAAGCCGCTCAGCGTTGCTCGAGATTCCCAGGCTATTTTCTTCCCTAACCAGCAACAGCTGCTGCTGGGCGGCATTTTGTATTTTGTGCAGATACAAGTGCAGGGCACCCAGCTTCTCCAACGTGCAGTTGGACCTCGCATTTTGTTCTTCCTCAGGAACAGAGCCAGCTGGGATTGTGTCCAGCCCGGCACAACATCCCCCAGCCGACATGGCATCTATATGGTGCTGTGAGTCAGTGCTTTAAGTATCGGTTGATGAGATCTCAGGCTAGTCCTAAATTTAAAGTTGGAAGAAGAACAGTCAGCTTTGATCTGCTAACAGACCAGATGAGAGCAGAGGACTCCCCACTTGATGAGAAGCATGTGTTTTCACAGCAGAAGCGTGCAGTTGCTGAGCAAAACATGACAATTACCAATCCCCGCTCTTTTTGCTCCTTTCCGTAATGCTTTTCTACTCTTCAGCCTGCACAGGGTAATTTTTGCTTAGGGCATGCTCCTTGGACAAGTTTTAAGGCAACTTCTCGTCAGCATTCTCAGGATCCACATTTAAGCCCTGCAGCACCCCAAATAATGCAAGAGAATGGCTGGGTTCGCACAACATGCCAGGTGACCAGGAGGGAGGGAGGTGGATCAGTGCACCTTCCGGACACCCTCTTGCTTCCTGGGGTGGCTACACACATCTGAACACAGCTGGACACTGAGCCAGAGCAAGGCTGGAAGATGTGCTAAGGGGGCCGCCACTCTGGCCAAGGGGTTGCAGCTGTTGTTGGCGGACAAAGTGCCCAAGCAGCACCTCTGCCCTGGCTAATGCTGGGAGATCAGGACTGCTCATGGGCAGGCGCATGGAGGAAGCACCTGGGCCTGCCGTGGGCCGTGAGCTCAGGCTGAGGGGAGGGAGGGGCGGCACACAGCGGGGAAAGCAGTCCTGCCCCACCTGCCTTCCCCTCCGCTGAACGGGCTGCAGCAGCAGCAGTGGGCAAAAGCAGGCCGCTCAGCACCCCTGGCTCTGCTTCCCCCTTCCTGCCGCCACTGAAGTGAATGCACCCCAACACACTAGTTGGCACAATCCCTTTGTCACGGAGCTGGCTGATGGGGGCTCACTTTCCCACAGGCCGCCTCCCAGGGATACTGGGGAAGAGCGATTCTCTCCTGTCGGTGGCTCCTTCTGCCCACCCTACAACCACCGCGGGGCAGTGGAGCAGCCACGGGGGTCAGCTGCCTCTGCAGAAGGAAGCAGCTGCTTGGGGGCCCCTTGTCTGCCTCCAGGAGAACCAGCAGGTGGAGCTGGGAGGTGGAAAGGCTTCAGTCAGCTGGCTGAAGCACCCCCTTTCTCCCGGTCGCCCTGCGATGACAAGGGGAATCCTGCTCAAGGGGAAAAGGGCCGCTTCGGCCCCGCTACCCTTTGCCATGTCCCCACCTGTCGTTTGGGAGAGAGGAGGTGCTAAACCTCCCTGGGGGGAGCAGAGGATGAAGCCCCCCCCCCACACACACACCAGCCCTTGTGCACTCCTTCCTGCCTCCTGGTCTGGAGTGGCTCAGCTGAGACCTGCTGTGGCAGGAGGGGAGGGCTGCCTCTGTGTTAGGTGGCTCATCCCGCCCCCCCCCCCATGTCTGATCTTGCTCTCTGGCAGCAGCTGGAGCATGGGGCAAGGAGGGAATGCCAGCCACCGAGACGCCCAGCCCTGGCAGCTGGCTCTCCTCCGTGCTTCTGCAGGGGCCCTGGCAGGACTGCAGAGGCAGAGGAGGTGGGCTGCCTCAGCCCCCCTCTGTGCCCAAATAGTCAGGCACAGCTGCCCCCCCCCCCCCC